CTGCACTGGCTGCTAAAGATGAGGACGGAGCGTGCATGTGAATGCCCCGAGTGCTGTGAAGTCAATTCTTGACTTAACTCAACTCAACTTTTTTTGTAAATGTACATGGTCTCCCGCCACATCAGTATATTTTTGTTAGAAATCTCAGAAACATTTGACTCTAGACTTTATTAAAACGTAGCCAACCAAATAAATAAATCACTTTCAGATTTTCTTCTGACATACATCAGTAAAACCGGAGTCTAAGGCACCTTTAAATCTAGTTTGCGTGTGTTTTTGTGTGTGTGTGTGTGTGTGTGTGTTTGTGTGGGTGTGTGTGTGTGTGTGTGTGTGTGCAGACTGTTGATTCCTCGCCTCTCAGGCAGATGAAATCCGAGGTCGAAGAATAGACCAATCACTAGTCTGCTTTCACGACTTAGTGGTTAGGGTGTGTCTATTGCCAGCCCCACCCACCCCCAAATGGGATCCGAACCCACACGGGGAATCATATAAACAGTTCGCCTGAAAATGAAAACACATATTCATTACGTTTAGTTTTCATGTTATTTTTCTTCTTCTCTCCTCGACACCTGGAATGTCTCGAGTGAAGAAGAGACCTCTAAAACGGACTCTTCTGTTCGCTTCGTATATAGTACTTATAAGTGTTTCTGATATTTCTGTGGTCCATATTCTGCGTGGGTTTGTTACCACTCTGTCTGTATAACATTGCTCTCTGTGGTGCCTGGTCTGCTTCCAACCTTGTTACATAGCCAAACCATTTGATTTGTTGTCTACATATAAAGTTCAGTACTGGTTCTGTGCTGATTCTCCTCCTGATATCATAGTTCTTAAGTTGTTCTTTCCTCGTTACACCTAGCCCAGCAGGCTAACATCTTACTTCCGTCATGACCACTAGCCCTCTGTCCTCCGAGGATAAGTCTCTTCCCATTTGACACTGACAGCCCAGCTTTGGCAAAAATATTGTGTTGAACAGTGTTCATTTTCGCGTTCTTGCATGTCAACTTTTTAGATAATGTTTATTTTAGAACAACAACAACAACAAGTATTGTTTTTGTGAATGTGTAAATGAACCCACTGAAAGAGTCTGAAGTGTCTGAATGACTGGTTCGTCACTCCGGGCTGCTACCTAAAGGTCTGACAACATGAGATTACACAATCTAAATCTGGATGGCAGACCAATAGGGTAAATCCCAGATACCCCGTTCAAACTCAAGGTAGTGTACAGTTATCGCATTGTTTAGGCCGCTCTAGACTAGTGCGACCTACAGCTCTATGAGGATAAGGATGTCCTGATATTATATTATCGAAGAATATTTTATGCAATTTTTCTTTGTCAACTGAGACGAGAAAGAGAATTCTTAAAAGCTACATAAATCTTATCTTGATATATGGAAGTGAATCACGGACAGTTGGAAAATTAGTGAAATTTTAAATAAAGGCTGCAAAGATGTGGTTTTATAGACGAATGATGTGACATTGGGAAAGCTGGAGGGGAGGAAAGGCAAAGAGAAGAGAGAAAAGATAGTGAACAGTATGACATTATGGAATGGAGGATCATCTGCGTCAGAGTTGACTGAAAGTACACTAGGCAGAAGGTTTTAAACAGACATGACTACAAACGCCACACGGTGTAGATTTAAAGAAGAAGAACAAGTTAAACGACTGAATGTTTATATCAATTGAAAAGCCACGGAAAATCACTATATACATTTTCCAGTAATGAATCAATGAGAAGCTCACAGGAAAAAATGGACTCTTAGTTTTGTAACCACATAACGTGACGGAGAACTTCGGACACAATAACCCGATGTGACATTTCATTACCTCCTCCTCTCCCCCCACCCCGACTTCTCCCATAGCTGAGACAATTGCTATTATAAAGTCTGCTGGTCTGCAGACCTGTTGCCTCTCTCTCTCTCTCTCTCTCTCTCTCTCTCTCTCTCTCTCTCTCTCTCTCTCTCTCTCTCTATCTATCTCTCTATCTCTCCTGTCCATCGCCAGCCAACTTGTCGAATTCCAATGTAATTTCTTCCGGTCAATCCAGAATATTATGTCCAGGTCTTGTTTAGTCTGCCGCTTCTTGTATGTCTCTTGGAACTGCTACAGTCAGTATACAGTGTTGAATAAACTTACATGATCTTGTTACAGCATCGTGTATGACTCGCGTTCGTATTTTGTAGTTGTTTCAGAAATGCGTTATGGCTCCTCAAATAACGGGATACGATATCCTGTGTATTGACAGCCGCGACAATGCCCTGTGTCTTAGAATAACCATTTGGACTTAATTCCTCTAGTTATGCTTCTCTGCGATTTCTTTTTGCCTTTCTCTTGTTATGTATGTCAACGTCGGTTTCTAAAGACTTTCCTAGATAAGCATAAGCGCTTCAACCAGAAATACTTAGGCATCCTGACCTTTCCTAAAACATGAAGGCGGAAAATACGGGGGGGGGGGGGGGAGGAGCGGTGGAGGGGTTAACGCGTGAAATAATTCTTGGCTGAGCCCACAAGAATGTTAGCGAATGGGATTCTCAGTCGGTACTGCGGAATGTTCAAAATTAGCCAACGTGGTATGAGTGCATACCACATCTCAACACGTTAACGTTAATGAGACACCAGTGGATATACTGCCGGTACACGCAGGAGTGTGAGGGAATGAAAAAGCGGATTTTCTTGATACAATGACTGACTGACTTTCTACCCCACCAGGACATCACACAAGCGATAAACACCTGATGACACAACGTGCCACCATGTGGGTGAGGATCACCGAGGAGAGGTCCCAGAAACCGCGTTCAGCCTTTAGGCCATATTTATGGCCAGGCTATATTGCGGCCCCTGGCAAAAGCCAGAGTATGGCTTCAAATAACGAAAAATTTCGTCCTAAAAAGGACGAGAAGTAAGACACTTGATACAATATCGATAAATACCGGAACACTTGTGCTGGGCAAAGGAAACATTTGGAAGACTATTTTTGAATTATTGCTCACAGAAGACAGGAGGTTAGATGACATGACTTATGTAAGAATGCGGGAACGAGGAATTATGTGTTGATCCGACAAGAGTGGACGTATGAGAGAAAGAGAACAAGGTGTGTGTTACCAGTGTGCCACGGAAGCAGTTGGTATCTACACCTTCACATTTACTGCGGGACACGGGGCATCTAGGCTAAGCCCAGTGTGCTATGATGTAGATTACTAAATTAATAATCAGGGTACATGGTCTCCCAGAGCATTTCTCATTTGAAGCATTTGCTCTACATTTATTATTATTTCACCCATATTCTTATATTTATTTGCCATTCAGCATACAATAAAAAAAATGATAGAATAATAATAATAATGATATTAAGGTTTTAAGCAGGGTTTAAGTCCCTTTAGCCCCACAGTTGGAAAAAAAAAAAAAAAAACGTAAGGGGGCTGATATACCCCCCCCCCACCCCAACCCGCGGCCCCTTTCCCAACCCATACTCCCTTTAGCAAGATTTTCTCCTCGGTGGCATGCCCGTACACATGGAATTTCAGGTCAGAGAAACAGATGATACTTGTTGCCTCTGGTATATTGCTAAGAGTATACCTGTGATTTATCCCTCTTTCCTGTTTTTTCCCCCTGTGCATTAAAATGTGAACAATCTTTGGAATGTGTCTTGTTATAAGATTAACTCACCGCCTTTCCTGTAAATCCTATATCGATGTTACGTCAAATCCGACTGTGCTAACTTCTAACCTCGTGTCTTTGGCGTCTCAGAAACATACCAGCTGTCTTAAAGTTTTCCACTGAACGTGTGAAACATAAAAATGTAAAATGTACACTTAATGTGAGATAGATCTCAGAGATCGAATATGTAAAATATTTGAGAGCTTGCGTGTCCAGTTCTTGACCTTTTGAAAATACAGAAATAGTTTGGCTCTTGTCTGCTGAATGATTGATTGTATAGCGTGGAATAGCTCGCATTATCTGATGGCATTCGTGGCAAATAATTCAATGCTCCATAACGAACTTGAGCATAACTGTATTTGTTCTAATAAAGGGTTGAATGCATTTGAAGAATTTCTCCTGAAATTTTGCTAGAGAACCGATGCTTTTACCTCTCAAATATTACCCACCGATATTACTATTTTCAACTACGAAAACTCCCAAATATACTGTCTCCACAGAAGACTAACAAACGAGGCCAGGAAGTCAAACTATCGAGCATCTTATCTATGGATTTCACACCGGCCAGATGTGCACAAGTTTTATTCTTCTCATGACATGACCAAAGATTGTAGATTGTCTCCTTCTGATGTAGGTAATCATTTCCCTGCATGTGTTCATTTATGTAAAAGCATCGGCATAATTGTCTATTCATTGTGTTCCCATTATTCGTCTATGAAACTACATCTCTGCTCCTTTAATACATTTTGACCCAATAATCAGCTAACTTTCCAAGATTCACATCCTCACATCAACATTACATTTATTTAGCTCTTAATAATTCTCTAGATGTGAACATCATTGTGGGATACAGTTAATCCTGTGTGTCAAGTAGCATAGACGCCTTTCTTAACAACCCTTCTCAAACCATCGGGACATCACACAAGCGATAAATACCCGGTGATATTAAGTGCCACCATGCGGATGAGGATCACATGTGGAGAGGTCGCAGAAACCCCTTTCAGTCGTTATTGCCACATTCATAGTCCGGTTATATTCAGCGCCCCCAGAAAAAGCCAGGATGGGGCTTCAAATAACGACAAATTGCATCCTACAAGGAGACAACATGATCTGTGTACGTTAGCGCCAATGCAACAAAACAGCTGAAAGAGATAACAATGAATGGGTTCTATAATATTTCCAACTGTATGAACGCCGGCAAAACTAGGTAGTTGACGGAGGGAAATAGTGGAAGGAAAAATATGGTATATAATTGCACTGTTAATTATTTCTACCCAAAACACAAATTGCTGCAAAATATAGCGTTAACTTCGTCAATTATAATGTCATTATTTTATATCCCCTACCTTTCCCTCTTGACTTCGCCTGGTGATTGTACTTTGATCTCGTTGTTTTTTTCCTCCACCAGGGTTTCAAAAGCTGCAACAAACTGGGCATCCCCGGCCACCTGTGAAGTAACGATGCTGAATGACGTCCAGTTGTATCTCTCTAGCAGGCTCATCATCGCCATAGCCTGATGCTCAATAGTTGGGGCTAGCTGGAGCATCCTGTTAGCAGAGGCCGTCTGGAAGAAACACGTTCAGAAAGGTAAGGAAAGCTTACCTGAGAGGTACCAATAGCTGCATTCCAACACACACACACACACAAACAAACACATACACACACAGATATATAGGAAGTCGCTGTGGTGTAACGGCTACTCGCTTGCCTGCTAATCGGAAGGTGGTGGGTTCGGGTCGAGACGTAATTAGGTAGATCCAGCCTTGAGTGGGTATCAGATACAATCCCGTAAAGTAAAGGCGGCCGGTGTAATGTTGACTACATCACCCACCAAGTGCCGATTAGTTTGTTAGGTCTAGCCCTATATACCCAGGACGCCTGAAGGGATGGAAAAGGGTCCTTTACTTGTTTGTATATATTCTATGTGTCGTGAGATATTAGGTTAAAAAAAAAAAGACTCGTTTTTAGGCTAGTAGCCCATAAGACATACGATGCCAGAATATATTTTAACAGACCGACCGGCTGTTGAATCAACATTACACCAACCGTCCATACTTACCAGAAAACAAAATTAAAAACATTTAAGCTGGGGTCGATCAGCCAGCCAAAGACATCATCATCACCATCATCGATTTCCACTTTTGCTATCAGGTGTCGTGTTGAGAAACAATGTTACATCCATTGCTAGATGGGCAGCAATGACTATTGTCCTTCCGTGTTCACGTAGAAGATCTTTGATGTTATCAGTCCATATTCTCCCAGGCCATCCTCTTACTTTAACATAAGATCTTTTTTAATTATAGCTCTTGTGTTGGTAGCTGTGGCTACATTCTAACTAGATAACCAAACCAACTGATCTTCTGTTTTTCTGTGAATTTGCTGCATGGTGTTATTACCACAGTCTGCCTCATAGTATATCCTTTTTTTTACTTTCTTTCGGAGAGTTGAGTTAGTGGCTTTCATTAGACATAGATTAACAGGCTCAAAATGCTGGCTCATATTATGCGAATGTCAGATGGCAGAGAGGTAGAACTGTATACACAGGGAACAGAATGGTCGTAGCCTACGAGGCAGACCAAGAGATAATATCGGACAGACCTATAAACATCTGGTGTCATCAGCTGGAAAGAAAAGGTCAGCCAAAGCAAAAAGTGCTTTAAAAAAAGCTAGCTTTTTTTGATATTCTACCTCATCCTTGTATTGAATGTAAACATATCAGATATGCTTTTCTGTGTTCTCACTTTTGGAAGATGTTTAAACATTAAAAAAAAATACAGTATACTTAATATTTATAGCGATGAGAAAGACATCTTATTCTATTTCATAAATCATTGTGCATTGCATCTGTTACCATATTAGGCAGTCTGCTTAACTAACACTGTGGGTTTGGATTCATACGCTGTAGTTTGGTTAGTGAGTGCAGCTGTTTGGAATATCAACCTGGGTGGTCAGTAAAGTTCCGGAGTGCATGCTTGTGTTGTGGTCTGGGTAGGCGAAGAGCCATTTGCATCATCAGTGACTGGGTCGCCCATTGGCTGACCGGTGGACGACTTCGTCGCCACTCGGGACAGTATTTGGATCTGTCTTCTTGATCGCATCAACACTGGAAGTCTTTTTCATGGCTACTTAGTGCCGAGCAATGATAAGCCATTTTATATGGCACAAATATACATAGTCACAATTATAACCAAATGCTCCCCCTATTGGGGGGGGGGAGGGGGGGATGCTGGTTAAACGTGACAATTTGTTTTCCGTAAAGCAAGCCAATTCAAAGACCTGTTTGCAGATACAGACTGGAATATGTGGGATAAAACCTGGTGCAATGAAGATGACGTACTCGCTTTTAAACCACTTTGTTTCAGTCCCTGATATGGCGTCTCTGGCTTAGGCGTTGCGAACGCGTTTCATAATACAGGGTTCGATCCCAGCTGCAGTCTGTTTTGCGTTCGTTTCAGCAGTGATAACGAGAGCTGATCGTTTAGGAAGCACTGCAAACTACTGAACGTACATTTTGCCTAGAAAAACCACAAAAGGCACCAACAAAAATAGTGTTTTTTTCTGCAACGTTCTGTAAGGGATAAACAAAATTTTTTTTTTAGTCCACTATTTTTTTTCTTTCAAGATGCTACTGGAAAGTGCGACTACATCAGACATTTCGCGAGCTGCCTCCTACACGGCAAACTAACAGGGGGAATAATAGATACCTCGTTCAACCTCAAAAAAAGTTATAATTAGAACAGCTGTATTGGCGACACTAAATACTACTCAGACGTACCCATAGACACGTGCGGATGATGAGCCTCATTTATCATTATGCTTCTGTTAGTCGTCTATGTGGCTTAGGCGTAGCAAAACGCGCTTTGTAATGCCGGGGTGCCAGGTTCGATCCCAGCCGCACACGATTTGGCAGCATACCGCGTTACGTTGGTTTCGACAGTGGTATCAGGATCGGCCCGATGAGAAGCAATGGCAAACTACTGAAGATACATTTGCATTGAAAAACCATGACAGTCAACAAAATTGTGGGGTTGTTTTATCACTTCGTCTAAATCACATGTAACTAACTATGCTTCTGTAAGGAATTATGATCAGTGGCTATAATTCTTATAAAGATGATGATGATAAAGACATTTATATACGTGTGACTTTATGTGTTCATGTGTCATAAGCACGAAATGTTTAAGTAAGAATGTGACTAACAACACTAACAAACACAAGATATATAGAAACTAACCTGCGCTGATCCACTAAACTGTGTATCCCAGGATATAACAGGGATGCCTAAGTAGTTGGATAACTCCAGGATGTACGTATTGGAGCTAGTTCGTCTCCTGATTCCCAAAGGGTTGTTGATATTTAGAATAGTGATCGCTCGTTTCGCAAGAACACCTGTGCAAAAGGCATCCAGGATCTCTCTTGGGGTATCGTCTACGATGAAGGAGATATTTTCTTGAGTGCTGAAAAAACTTTTAAGACGACTGTTTCTGAAATCACGTTTAAAATTAAGAACTGTGCTACTGAATTCCCGTGTCAGATCCGTGGCCATGGCGAAATGGCGTGGTATGAGGGCATGAATGCTGACTTTAATAGGCTCTCCCAATGAAGTGGATGGTACGTTGATGAGAAGCACTATAAGGAAGACGTACGCTATGACTGATGACAATGAAGAGGTATCTTTGATATTTGTGTGTACATTTCCAGCTGATGATTGTGTGGTGCCTTTAGAAGCAACATTATTCCTTTTCTTTTTATTGCTGTGTCTACAGCGAATACCGTATTCCTTCCAATGATGGATAACAGATGTATTAGTTCTAAGCGAAAAGTCCGAAGATGATTTGGACAGTGCCGAAAATGTCGTTGTTTGTTGGCTTATACGTGTGTCTGACAGCAGCAT